TAATGAAAGGGAATGGGTAGTTTTCTAGGAGTAAAATTAGATATAGAGTTTATTTATAGGGTAAAACGATGTAGTTTAAGAGTTAAAAGGATAGGAAAAGACCCAAATGTCTCAAACTTAAAACTGTCGGATGAGACATGTGGACTGACCTATGACCCGTATAAATTTCTACGGACCGTACGGATCATCTGTAGAACTAGATATAGGGGACCCAATTTTTGAATAGTCTCCACGAGACCACTATACGGTCTGTCTAAGATTCTACGGACCGTAGACCTAACCGTAGAACCTCTGAGCCAAAATCCTTCCAATAATTCTGAAATCAACTTCCACGAGACAGGTCTACAACCGGTCAAAACTTCCACGCCGTAGGAAAACTTCAGAGACCCAAAATCATGAAATCATTAAGACCATGTCTTTGACTGCCTTCTACGGATGGTAGAACCTTATACAATTCTACATTTTCTAGCACATTCGCCACATGTATTTCAATGCCTACCAAGTTTAAATAGTGGCATGTCGAGAGTTTGCTAAGATTACATAGCTAAAGAAAATATTTTATCTTATTTGAACATTAATATTACATATCCATGTATGTGTATGTATTTGGGGGACGGTCTCCATTATAAAGGAATCAGATTATCCAAAGAGTTGCCAACTTAGTTTTGTAAGCATGACCATATTCTTGTATTTACATTTCTGGACACCTAGAGCACCATTCATCTTATTACTTGTCACTCTGGTCTCATTTAACTAAGTGTAGTTTTCTTTGTATTTGTAGTACTCCTTATAAAGTTTCATTCGATACGATCAATTTGGTTAATGACATTGTAAAGAAGTTTTATAAATTGCATAAAATGTGTGGGGATACTATTTTTAGACAAGACTTTGTGAGGGTAGTCATTTCTAGTATTGTGAAACAAAAAATAAAAAAAAATCAACCCAACTAATTTTGATTGGAGGTTTTCAATTATGAAGTGAAAGTCTCTTTTACGGGTTTCTTATAAAATATAGGAAATCCTAAGTATTTTCTAAAATTGGTGCTTCCTTTAATTGCAACGATAATACATTGGGAGAGAACTTCCATACATAAAATAAAAATATATGGGATATTGAATTTCCCTGTCTCAAACCTCTAGTAGGTTCAAAAGGCGTGTACGAGTCCCATTTATTAGAATTGTGATTTTATTAGTGGTGATGCATGACATTATCAGGTTAGTGATTCTAGGCGGTAGGTGAAGATACTGGAGGGTATACCTTATGAACGACCCACTCAAGTTTATCAAAAGCATTTTCAAGATCAATTTTCATGATCATATTTGCATATTTACCTTTCATTTTTTTAAATGATGAAATATTTCTTGAACAATAATGGTATTATTAGCCGTGTGTCTATTTTTCAAGAACTTATTTGAAATGGTTCAATCAATTTAGTAGTTAGTGGCGTTAGTCTTCTAGTAATTATTTTAGTGATGATTTGTAAGAGGTATTGCAAAGACTGATGAGGTGATATTATTACATGTACAGGATACTGGCATTCTTACATTTAGGGATTAGACATACATGAGTAGTGTTTATATCTATTGGGACATATGCATTTTTAAAAGAATTTTTACAACATTCAATCACAGTTTGATAGGTCCCTTAGTTGGTCGGGTAAGAGGGAAACTATTATGATTTGTAGTAAAAAAAAATAGTTAAATTCATATGTTGCATCAACAATTTTTTCTTGGTCATAGGTGCAATTTTCTTCCTCCTATTGAAGAGACAACATCTAGGTTAATGAAGAATAAGGTATGTGATGCATGTCCTAGAGAAAAAACATGTCAAGTACTCATTCAAATAAAAAAATGACTAACAAAACTCTACCACTAGAGTTATTGTTAGTTTTATTAAGTTATGTTAGGAATAAAATATCTATCGTTATGTTTGTCCTAGTCTTTAGGAAGAAGTTTAAATGTGGGTTGTTGTCAAGTTTTTAGGAGAAAATCCTGGAGTAGTGGTTCCTAATTTTTAGCTTCAGTTTTTCTGCAATGAATCTATTTTATAAAAGGACTGCCGCAGGCAGCATAATAAAGTAGTCAGGAAATTTCTTTTTCACATACTGTCTCTGCTCTACTCCATCTATTTTCTGTTCTTTTTTTCTATCAGTGGTATCAACCCCAGGTTAGATTATAAAAAAGAAAAAGAAGAAAAACAGAGAAATAAACAGTAAGTTATGGCTTTAGAGAGCAATTACGTGCAAGCAACTACTCCACGTTTTGATGGACACTATGACCATTGGAGCATGCTGATGGAAAAAAATTTAAGGTCAAAGGAATATTGGCCAATTGTGGAGGTTGGTATCAGTGCTCCGGCGGAAGGCGAAACCTTGACGAATGCTCAAACAACAGAGTTTGAAGCAAGAAAGCTAAAAGATTTGAAGGCAAAAAATTACCTTTTTCAGTCTATTGAATGTCCAATCTTAGAAACTATTCCTTGCAAAGAAACTTCTAAAGATATATGGGACTCCATGAAAAAGAAATATCAAGGCACTACTAGAGTGAAGCGTGCACAACTTCAAGCCTTAAGAAGGGATTTTGAGACCTTGCAATGAAGGAAAGAGAGTCTATAATATGAGTTACTGCGCTAGAACAATGGAGATTAGCAACAAAATGTGATTCCATGGTGAAAAGATGAACGATATCACAATTGTTGAGAAGATATTACGCTCTTTGACGCCGAAGTATGATTATGTTGTTTGCTCCATTGAGGAGTCAAAAGATATAGATGAGTTATCGCTTGACGAATTGCAAAGCTCCTTATTGGTGCACGAGCAGAAGATGAATCGACATTCAACTTCTAATGAGCAAGTCTTGAAGGCGTCTACTTTTAATTCTTCCAATTGTAGAGAAAGGGGTAGAGCTGGGAGAGGGAGAGGAGATCGAGGAAATAGAGATGGAGGCAGCAAGTATGGCAACGGAAATTTTAGAGCCAATGATGACTACGACAAAAGTAGAGGGAGAGCTTTTGACAAATCTAAGATAGAATGTTATCGTTGCCATAAATTTGGTCATTATCGTTCTGAATGTCGTACAAGGCTACCTTATGAGAAGGAAGAAAAGTCAAATTTGCTGAGAATAAGGAAGGAGAAACCTTGTTAATGGCAGTTCATGTTGAAAACGAGCCCGAAGAGCAAGTTATTTGGTAATGTGGATACCGGTTGTAGTAACCATATGACTGGAAGTAAGTCTTCTTTTACTAATCTAAATAAAAACTTTCGGTCGACAGTTAGTTTTGGTGATCTCTCAACAGTGAATGTGATGGGAAAGGGTAATATCAATTTTAGAACAAAAAATGGGTCTGTTGAAATCATATCTAATGTGTTTTATGTTCCTGCATTGAAAAGCAATTTATTGAGTGCTAGTCAGCTGTTAGAAAAAGGGTACCTCATTACGTTAAGGAATGATACATGTGAAATTTCTGATCCCTCCATAGGAGTTATTGCTTTTGTGAAAATGAGTCAGAACAGGTTGTTTCCTTTGAAGATTGAAAAGGTCCAATCTTACTATATGGTGGAAATGAAAAATCCTTCATGGTTGTGGCATTTTCGATATGGTCACTTGAACTTTGGTGGCATGAAGATCCTTCAAAGGAAGAGTATGGTGACATGGTTTCCTAAAATTGTTGTTCCATCTCAAGTTTGTGAATAATGTGTTGTTGGAAAATAACATCATTCTCAATTTCCCAAAAATAAGTCATGGAGAGCCAATGAGGTATTAGGGCTGGTACACTCGGATATTTGTGGACCATTAACACCAATCTCTAATGGGGGCAAAAGGTATTATATTACATTTATTGACGATTATTCCAGGAAGACTTGGGTGTACATTCTACAAGAAAAATCAGAGGCCTTTAATGTATTTAAAAGCTTTCAAGCACGTGTGGAGAATGAGACTGGCAGGACCATTAAGAACCTTCGGACAGATCGCGGAGGATAATATTTCTCTAAGGTATTTGATGAATTTTGTGAGACTCGTGGCATTTGGAAACAACTCACAATAGCATATACACCGCAACAAAACGGTGTGGCAGAGAGGAAGAATAGAACCATTCTCAACATGGTTCATAGTTTGCTGGCTCGGGGAAGAGTTCCAAAGGAATTTTGGCCAGAAGTAGTGAATTAGAGCATTCACATCTTGAACAGAAGTCCCACTTTTGCTCTTCGAGATGTAACACCCGAGGAAGCTTGAAGCGGAAGGAAACCGGCAGTAGACCACTTCAAAATTCTTGGGTCCATTGCTTATGCACATGTTCCAGAAGAAAAAAGACAGAAGCTTGATGATAGAGGTGAGAAATGTGTTTTTCTTGGTGTTAGTGAGGCATCCAATGCATACAAGCTATTCAATCCATTGACAAAGAAGGTTGTGACCAGCAGAGATGTAGTTTTTGATGAGGAGAACACTTGGGATTGGAATATACATCAATCTACTCCTATCTTAATTAATAATGAAGTCGAAGAAGCAGTTGCAACACCTGAAATTTCTGATATTTCTGAAATTTCTACGGAAACAGTTGATGAAATTTCACCACCAGTTTTGGAAGAAATTGATGCACCTGATCAGCCTCTTCGTCGTGCTCGCAGAAGGCTCGTGTGGATGATAGACTATAAGGTAACAAGAATTCATGTTAATAAATATGTTTCCAACTTTGCATTGTTTGCAGATTACGATCCTACAACCTTTGAGAATGTCGTCAAAAAGGGAAAATGGAGGAAAGCTATGGATGATGAGATTGATGTTATTGAAAGAAATAGCACCTGGGAGTTATCAGATCTTCCAAAGGGACATAAAACCATAGGTGACAAGTGGGTCTATAAGACGAAACTCAAAGAAAATGGTGAAATAGACAAGTATAAGGCGTGATTGGTGGCTAAGGGATACAAGCAAGAACATGGTGTGGACTACACAAAAGTCTTTGCTCCAGTTTCAAGGCATTACACTATCAGAATGATAATTGCCATGGCGGTACAAAATTTGTGGCCTATCTTTCAGTTGGATGTCAAATCAGTTTTCCTAAATGGATACTTGGAGGAAGAGGTATTTATCGAGCAACCTTCTGGTTACATAAAAATTGAAGATGAGCATAAGGTATACAAGTTGAAAAAGGCTCTTTACGGACTAAAACAAGCTCCACAAGCTTGGTATAGTCGCATTGAGGCTTACTTTCTAAAATTTGGTTTCCAGAAATGTCCATATGAACACTCTCTCTTTGTTAAAATTGGAGAATCTGGAAAAATGCTCATAGTGTGTTTATATGTTGATGATCTTATATTTACTAGGAATGATAATGTCATGTTTTCTGATTTTAATAGATCTATGATGGATGAATTCGAGATGTCTGATCTTGGTAAGATGCATTATTTTCTTGGTTTAGAAGTAGTGCAATCTGTTGATGGGATATTTGTTTCCCAAAAGAAATATGTGCGGAAAATTTTAGATCGATTCAAGATGAAGAATTGCATTCCCGTCTATACTCCAGTTGAGTTTGGTTTGAAGCTAAACAAAGTTGGAAGAAGAGATATGGTAGACAACACGCTCTACAGGCAAATTGTAGGTAGTTTGATGTATCTTACCGCTACAAGGCCTGACATCATGTATGTTGTAAGTTTTATAAGCAGGTATATGGAGAGTCCGGCAGAAATTCACTTGCTAGCTGCCAAGAGGATCCTTCGCTACTTACAAGGAACTAAGGATTTTGGTTTGTTCTACAAGAAGGGTGAAAAGTCTTATCTGATTGGTTTTGCTGACAGCAACTACGCAGGAGATCAAGACGACAGAAAGAGTACTTCAGGCTATGTTTATTTACTAGGCACAACGGCTGTTTCATGGTCTTCCAGGAAGCAAAAAATTGTCACTTTATCTAGTACTGAAGCGAAATTTGTTGCTGCTACAACTTGTGCTTGTCAAGCTGTTTGGTTGAGGTAGGATTTCTTGAAGGAACTACAATTCAAACAAGAAAAGCAACTACAATTTTCTGTGACAATAACTCTGCCATTAAGCTATCAAAAAATCATGTTTTACATGGAAGAAGCAAGCACATTGATGTGAAGTATTATTTCTTGCGAGATCTCAATAATGAAGGAACAATAGAGTTGTAGTACTGCCGAAGTTAAGATCAGTTGGCGGACATTTTTACTAAACCTCTCAGGTTTCTCACTTTCCAAAATCTGAGGAGGTTAATGGGTATCGACACTATGGAAGAACTCAAGAAGCTGAAGTTAAACTAAAGCTTGAAAGCTTTCAGTTTAAGAGAGGGTGTTAGTTTTAATAAGTTATGTTAGGAATAAAATATCTATCGTTATGTTTGTCCTAGTCTTTAGGAAGAAGTTTAAATGTGAGTTGTTGTCAAGTTTTTAGGAGAAAATCTTGGAGTAGTGGCTCCTAATTTTTAGCTTCAGTTTTTCTGCAATGTACCTGTTTTATAAAAGGACTGCTGCAGGCAGGGTAATAAAGTAGTCAAGAAATTTCTTTTTCACATATTGCCTCTGCTCTACTCCATCTATTTTCTGTTCTTTTTTTCTATCAGTTATTACACATGGATATTTGCGGATCGATGAAGGTTCAAAGTAGAGGAGGAAATATTGCATGTTTGTAATTGTTGATGACTACTTTAGATTTAGCTGAACCTTATTTCTTGCTTACAAGGTGTTGAATTTTGTGTTAAATTATTAAAATTAGAAGAACTAAATTGCATTTCAAACTCACATGTCAAAATTTTAGTCATGTGTATTTGAAGTTAGCCTTGAAAAGTCAGGTAAAATTTCAATTAAAATATCCAAAACTTAGCTCATTCAAGCCCACTATATGTCTGTAGGCTTTGATGGGTCATACCAAATTTCAAGCAAAACTGTTTGAAGTTTGATCTTCACAAGGTCAGACTTGACAAATAAATATCTTAAGATTGACATGAATTTTAGCTTTAGTAACATACATCTGAAAATGTTCCCAAATCAACTAATTTGTAAAGGAAAAATACATAAAATCCCCCCTGAACTTGGCAGCATAATTTACTTTAGAACTTTAACTTTATGGGTAATTATTTACATCCCTAATCTTATTGCAAGTGAATTTAATAGCACCTTACATATACAATACCAGTTTCATACTCATGGGTGAAGTGCACGCGCACCACCTAAGTGACACCTCGGTGCCACATCGATGACATGTCAGATAATTGAAAAAAACTATATTTTTTCTTTATTTTTACTTTCCCACATCTTTTAAAATTTTATTTTCACTCTTCACCCACCCTCTTCATTATTTCATTTGGGTCAATTTTTTAACATCCAAAATTTCACATTGATTGATTCATTTATTTTTCATTGCTTTGCAATTATTCACTATTACTTCCATCAATACTTATATCAATCACCATACTTTTTTTTCCAACTAGGTGAAACTATCAACTTATATCAACAATGGCGATTTTAAATTTATGCAAAATTGATATGCTAATTTTTTAGATTTGCTATTACTTTTCTTGTTTCACTTCTTAATGCATATTCAAGTATAGAATAAGTAACGTTTAAAGTTATATGAAAAATTCTTTTTTAAGAAAAATCGAATCTTAAAAGTGAAGAATAAAGAAAATTATGTGAATCTTGAATGTGATTTTCTATTTTTGTTTAACGAAAAAATGTATAGGATGTAGAGTTTGATGAAGGAGAAAGTGGATGGGTCGGGGTTGGGGTAGGATGCGGTGGGAGTTTGAGGAAGAAAAGACAAGCAGGGGAGGTGGGGTTTTGAGAAAGGGGTGGAGGGGTTTGAAGAAGAACAAGAATGGGTTGGTGGGGGCTTCTTTTTTTTTTTCCATATATATAATGCTAGTGGGACCATTATTTAAAAAAAATAAAAGTTACGCGCCTTCAACTTTTTTGCTTTTCTTTTTTGGTCACGTCATCTATTAAGGTGGTATTAAATTCACACGAAATTAAATTAGGGGGATAAATAAATATCCGTATAGTTTAAGTGTTAAAGTAAGTTATGCTGCCAAGTTCAGGAAAGGTTTTATGTATTTTCTCATTTGTAAAACTAAATTAAAAAGTGGGTACAAGTTCAATAACGACCCCAAAATGGATATGTGTGCACTTCTTCCCAAAACTAATTACTGCCACTAATCAATATAAAAAAAATAAAATATTAATTATAATATATATATATATATATATCAATAAAGCATGTCTGCATAGTATGCCTATAAACTCAAACATTTTGTAGCTACAAGAAACTTGAGTTATTGATCACGTGATGATTATTGTGTGCTCCATAACATTTTCATAAGTGATAACATTATATGTACACAAATCTTATTCATTCTGACAGTCTTTAACGAAAACAAGTAATGATCTTTCTTATTCACTTTGAAACATGTCAAATATAGGTGAGGTGTATGCGTCCCTAGCATGAATCAATAAAGAAAGTTTAACCTTTAAAATAGGTATTCTTTGAGTCATTTCAAAAGTTGGCATATTCTAATTGGTGCACTTATCATCAACTGGTCTTTGAAAAATTTAAAAAGTTGAACAATATCCAAATCAAATTTCAAATATCCCCTTAAAATTTTATTAAAGCTCTCACTTAATCATGTGATATACATACCTGCTGAAAATGTATTTCTTCCATAAGTCATCGATCATTTCTCCATAATAGTAAACATTGTTTTCAACCAATTATTATCCACAAGATCATATTTCTCAAGCATATCATGCCATGCATTTAAAAATTATCCTCATACCCATAAAGTGATTTGTTAAAATCTCTTTGAAATGATGAATTAGCTCTAAAGCTATGATTAGGATGTTTAAATGCATTTTTTAAGTGTCACATACATAGTCGATGATATGTACGGGGCATATAAATGAGATTGCGAAAGCTATTGCAGGATCTTGATCTATCATGAATGTTTGTGGTTTATCTGCAAACTAAAGAATGCGTTAAAAAGTCATTCAAAGTATTTAGATGATTCTTCATACAAGAGAGTTGCACAAAATATAACCATTTCCCTATATGGTTATTCAAATCAACAAATAATGCCAAGGATCGATACTTTTTGTTTGTCATATACGTAGTATCAAATGACACACCATATCCATAGATCTTAAAATCTTTTATCATCTTTGCATCAATCCAAAATACATTAGTTATCAAACTATCATCATCTAACTGTAAAGAAAATTGCAAAAATAGAATCTTCTGGTGTTCGTGTCTCAAATAATTGACCAAGCTACGAGCCACCTCATGTTTCAAATATTCTTGTCTTTTACTCCTAAGATAATTCTTGTGATCTCGCTTTGTGTAAACTAGAAAGGATTGTTCTCCAGCTTGACCAACAACATAGTCAAATGAAGCTTTAGGACCGTTGACATCCAATTTTGGTTCTCCATATTTAATTAATTAAGTTTTCATAATAATGATAATAACAATAATGACAATAATATATATATATATATATATATATATATAT